CAGGGACCCCAAGGGTGCCCAGCTGCCATCATTACAGGTGCTGGCACCTTCCCCTCGGTGGCAGATCTCCTGTCCCGGCATGAGGCCGGTGAGGGGCTCCTGTGGCTGCCACAGTCCTGGCTCACGGCCCTGCCACTGCAGCTGCCTCCCTTCCCACACCTGCTCAGTGGCTGATACCTGCACCCACCGGATGGGACAGGAACTGGCATTTCCCCAGGGAAGCTGGGGTCCCTGCAGCGTCCGAGTGCTGGTGCCGGGATGGTGAGCCCAGCTTGTGGCAGACCTGTTTTCCATCTCTGTTCTTGTTCCTATCCCAGCCCATCCCTGCCCCAGTGCCTTAGTCTGTGCTTGCACTTCTCCATCCATGAGGTCCTATCTAGGGACCAGGGGCGGGAGCCACGCTGCCATCCCGTTCTGCACCTGCGGCATCTCCTCCCTCAGCTTTCCTTTCCTCTGGAGCTGTTTTGAAATCCAGAGAAACAAGATGCGATAATTCAGTGCTCGAACAGTGATAAGGTGGGGGACAAACAGTGCCCGGGCTGGGAAATGAAGGAGCTGGGGGGGCTCGTACCCCGAGCCGGGACCTTCCTTGGCCACTGCCCTGAAGGTTCAGCACCAGCAGAGCTGTGTCCCCACCGTGCTGCCTGTGTCCCTCTCACCCCCTTGGCACGGGACAGCGAGCAGGAACAGCGTCCACCCCGATGGCTTCCCTGGAGCAGTGGCTTTCAGGGAGGGCATGGAATCCAATAGCTGTGTTTTCCCATACATCATTTTGCCCCAAATGCAACTTTTTCTCTCCATATTGCAGAGCTCACTTGGAGTAATTTGCCCTTCGCAGGCTCAGCTGTAGAGGACGGGACTGTGTATTATGTGCAGGATGTAATTGCCTTTAACAAGAGAATTTCCACATTTACCACTCTGCCACAGCGCAGTCAAAGCCAAGCCCTGCTCACAAGAGCTGCCATTTGAGTTCTAAATAGATTTCTCTCCTGAGCAGGTAAAGAGATTTAATTAAAATTAGGGCTTCTCAAAATAGCAATATTTATGAGGACGGCACAGGTTAGCTTTGTTCTACAGAAGGGCTTAATAGAGCCTTAATGGATTGACCTATCATTCGATTTCATGACTTACATTCATGAAGCAGCTACTCTTGGGGAGGGGAGGAAGAGAGGCTTTTATAGCCCACATTCCCTTAAGCGTTTGCAATTTATCAGCAGCTTCTCCCAAACAAAAGGAGCTGTGAATAGGAAGAACACTTGAGGGCATAGAAATAATCCCAGGCATATCTGTATGTGTGATGGGAGGCTTTGTCACAGGACAGTCTTTGCAACTGCTGCAGTGTCTCTAAATGAAGTGAGTCAATGTTATTTGGACAACATTCTTTATTCCTTGCAGGAATGAAAAGATTATTCAAATATTCAATTAAACAGTGAATAGGGTCTTTCAGAGAACCAGGTGAGTTCATCGAGTAGAACTAGCTATTGTTGAGCCAACTCAGGGGATAGATTTGACATTTATCAATATAACTTCTTTTTTTTTTAATGACATGCACAATAACCTTATGCAGATAAAGAGATTTCGTAACAAGAACCCGGATAGGAGGAGACAATAGGAGCAAATGTGCCGCCCAGTGAAAAGGGAAGGGTGATCTGATAAAGTGCATCCTGGCACAACCTGTGCCCTTTGTGCCTGCACCCACAGTGCCTGTCCTGGCCGTGGACATGGCCGGAGCCTGGGGCTCCCTGGGGGCTCACAGCCCCCCCTGGCTCTGCCTCTGCTCCCTGGGGGCTCTGCACTCCCCCCAGCTGCACCTCTGCTCCCCAGCCCCTGCCCCTTGGGGGCTCCTGGCTTTGCTGGGCTGCAGCAGCCTTGGGTGCCGTGGTCCCTTCGAGGGAGCCCTGCGGGGCCAGGTAGTGGGGGGGACCAGAGACACCCCCACCCAGTGGCGTGGGGGTCCCATCTGCTCCCTCCCGCTCAGACAGCTCCGTCACCAGCACTGCAGTCTGCCCTCCCACATGTTGCTCAGCCCTCTGGGTTACAGCCACGTTTGGCTCCCCACCTTTTTGGGATGAAAACCAGAAATAACCCCCAAACTCTCAGCTGCCTTGGCCAGAACCCATGCCCATGATGCCCTGTTTCCCTGAATGTGGCCGTGCATCAGCGGCTGTGGGCCACGGGGCTGTGACCAAGGCAGCACTGCCGGGCTCCTCGTGCTGCACAGCAAATCCACTAAATCTTCTTGCCCCAGCTGGGCTCGGGGCCAGGGTTGGCAGCAAGGTCACTGTCGGGCAGGTCTGGTACTTTGCTGTGTATAGCTGTAGGTGGTGATGGGGCAACGCACGGCACTGGTTCCCCAAAGCCACCAAAATCCTTGTGCAGGGCCAGTGGAACGTGTGTGCTGGTTGGAAGTCAACACTTCACCATGGAGCACTCCCGGCAACCTGAATGCTGAGGCAGCACCCTTGGAGAGCAAACCCCAGCTCAGGCCATCCTAAATCCTGGAGAACTCCCAACCCACAAGCACAGGTTGTCCCCGCAGTCACAGGAGACCACCCCTTCCCTGGGGCTGTGCCTGCCCCAGCTCTTGCAGCTCTGCCTTCAGGTCTGCAGCAGCCTCTTGCTGCCAGACCCTGCCTGCATCTTGGTGCCACTGCCTGCTGTGCTGCTTCCCACCCTGCTGGCAGCAGAGCTGGCAGTGGGATTATGGGAAGCTGCTGCAGCCCTGGTGAGGCATGGAGGATTAGGGTTTCTAGGCTGGTGAGCCTGGTTGCCACATTGGAAAGACCAGGTTTATCGGGGAATTAATTCAGCCGCTTCCTTGACCTTCAGGAATTAAAGGGGGCTGATGGCAGCGGCTCCCAGTGTGCAAACACAGCTGGCAGCACCTTCTGGCTTTGCCTCTTCCTGGGCAGTGAGGGCAGGGGGACACCAGTCTTGCTGCCAGGGGGTTTGGAATCTGTCTTCAGCATCAGGGGAGACTGACTTGGGAGGCAGAGCAGGGACAGGGAGTCCACGGTGGGACAGGGATGGGGCACGAGACTCCTCCTGCACTGTTTTCCTGCATGAGGAGCATTACCCAGGAGCATGGGTCCCTCCTGGCTCACCCCAGCACAGCACGGTGTGGGTGGGGCAGACACATGAGCTTGGCACCATTTCATCCTCCTCCTCCTCCTTGCAGATGTGAAGTACCTGGAGAACCACACGCTGGCTAAGGACGCCCAGGAGAAGGCCAACGCGGCGCTGCTGGAGTACACGGTGTGCCACTACCCCCACTCCACGGACAAGTTCCGCCAGCTGCTGCTGTGGCTGGCGGAGGTCCGGGCGCTGAGCATGCAGGCAGAGGAGTACCTGTACCACAAGCACCTGAGCGGGGAGGTGCCCTGCAACAACCTCCTCATCGAGATGCTCCATGCCAAGCGGACTTGAGCGTGGCCGCCAGCACGACCCGGCGCAGCCCCAGTGCCACCGCTGGCGCAGCAGGGGCAGGACTGGTGCCCGGGGCTGGCTGCCTTCCACCCTGCCTTCCTCAGTGATGCTATTTAACCTCTGCTATTGGAAACGTCCCAGGTGGTTTAACACACAGCAAGGATGGTTGAGGCTGCAGGGCCATGGGCTCGGCTGCTGAGCTGCCCCATTGGCCGCGCTGCCCCAGCTCCACTGCACGCCTGGTGCCTGAGCCTGCCACTTACAGACCTGGCTCAGCAGCACCAAGGAAGGGTAAAGCCTGTCCCGGCTTTTCTCCTATTTCTGCTCCTCTCCTATCCCTACCAGCTGTTTCTTCACCTTCCCAGCCCTGCCCCATGTCTCAGGGCCCGTTGTGCACAGGGCAGGGGAGAGGTGAGGTGAACCCCCTCCAGGCTGTGGTTTTGTAGTGGTTGGGGCGTCTCCAGGCACTGGGGGAGCACACGGAGGAGCCACACAGAGCACTGGGGCTGGGCTGGAGGGGTTGGCCCTATTCAGTCCTGTGACCCCAAGGTGCACATGCTGTGTCCCACCACTGCCCCAGCAAAGCGAGGGCAGGCAGGGGGTGGGCAGCGCTGAGTCCTCAGCTGAGGTTCGTTTTCCCAGTGCCTGCTGGTGCTGGAGGCAGCAGTTGTGGCTTTGCAGGCCGTGGCAGCCGCAGTGCCCAGAGCCCACAGCTCACGGGCAGCACAGCTCTGTCCTGCCCCAGCTGACGGTGGCAGAGCAGCCGGGCAGGAGGGAGGTGCAGGCACGTGCCCAGGAGCCTGGGGAAGCTTGGCGAGCTCTGCAGCCCCCTCCCTGCATTTACTGGCCCAAGTACATGGGCAGGGAGGAATAAGGATTTTCCTGCACTTCGTGTTGGGCCCCCACACCCCCTCCTGTGGTCTGCCGTGTCCCCAGGGGACAGCAAATGCTGTGGCGAAGCCACAGGCAAAGAGCTCTCTGTTCCTCTCCCATCATGGGACAGGACTGGGAGCACTGGGGGCTGCAGCCCCCCGAACTGGGACATGCTGGACTCTGACTGCTGCTTTCTCTCCATCTCAGCCATGCTCTCCTCTCCTCTCCTCTCCTCTGCCCCACCAGGCAGCCCCTGCCCCGGCCCGACCCTGGCTCCGTGGGCTCCTCCCGCACGGCAGGGGCTGGCCAGGTTTGCTCCCCAGGGCGGGGGGTCTCCCTGTCCCCAGGGCGGGGGGTCTCCCTGTCCCCAGGGCGGGGGGTCTCCCTGTCCCAGGGGCCGTCACCCGCCGTGGCTCTGCAGAGCCGGTGCCTTGAGGAGCCACAGAGGCTGCGCCTGGAGCCGCGTGGTTTGTGAAGCTTGTTAGATGCAGAAGAGTATGTTTGTCTCTGCTTTAACACCTTTGTGCATTTTCCTCCTGAAGTCTGTGGTTTGGTTTCACCTTCTTCTTTTTGTGAACTTAAAGAACTGGAGAAAATGGTTTGGGAGGTAAAGATGTTTTATTTTCAGAAAATGAAAAGTGTCCTTAAGTGTCTCTCTCTCTGTCTCTCACATCCTTTTCTCCCTCTCTTCCCTCCCCTTCCCCACTACTCCCCTTTCCTTCCCAGGCAGAAGGTTACCAACTTCCTTGTCAGGAGCAAACCACTGTAATAAATTTTGCAGTTCATTTAAAAACACAAACTTCGTCTTTTTTGACTGTCTTTCTACCCCTCCTGGCTGGTGTTTCCCCAGCTCCCCGTGGGCAGAGGAGCAGTGCTTGGCTCCTGGTGCCCACTCCTAGGGTGCTGCCTGTCTTTGTGGGCCCGGGACGCTGTGGCTGCGGGATTCAAGGCATCGGTGCCTCAAGGTCTGGTAAAAAGTGCTGCAGGGAACTGCCATAGTGACTCTGAGCGTGTTTTTCAAGCGAGCTAACGAATGGCAACATTTATCTTAGCAATTATCTTAGACTTGGATTGCTCATGTAGCTCTTGGTGGTTACCATGGCCCCTGGCGTGGCACACACCATGGCAGGGAGCAAAGCCGTGGCAAAGCACAGAGCTCTGCCACAGCCTCTGACATAGATGTGGTGACTGTCTGTAAGATTTCGGTGCTGGGGGTGCCCCAAGGCCCACCCCTCCCTGACTCTGGCAGCTGGAGGTGCTTGGCTGACTCCAGCCAAGTGACATCCACACACCAATCCCACCTCCTGCCCAGCACAGGGCAGCTCCAGGGCTGCAGAGCCCAACACGTAAACACAGGCTGGGCAGCACACGCTGTGCTGGGATCAGGGAACACGGGGAACACAGGACAGGGCACAGGGGAGTGGGCAGTGCCCTGGTCCTTGCACTGCAGCCAAACCCCTTTGCTGTGCTCAGCTGCACAGAGCCACTGCATGAGCCCCTTCCCTTGGACACAGTGCAACAGGGAGAGAAGGTTGCCTTTAAAATCAGCATTTACTGTCATCATAATCAGCAAAAACCCACCACGTTGTCTGTGCTCTAAACACTACGGAGGTAACAGGAGAACAGGGAGGGAAAACAGAACCCAGCTGGGAGGGGCCACACCAGCCAGGCAGGAGCTCAGGCAGGCGCCCAGGCAAGAGCAGGGAGAGGATTTTTGTCATAAACAGCAGAAGATGCTATTGATGTCAGCTGGTTTAGAAAAGGCCTGGAGCCAGCTGCTGGCTTCCCTAGTGCATGTGCTTCCTATGCAGCCTGTCCCCAGCCCTGCCCTGGCACAGTGATGTGCTGGGCTGGCAGTGGGGCTGGGGAAGGCAGCCGTCCTCACTGGCACGGAGCATGGGCACGGCTGCCACGGGCACAGCTGGGCTTGTTCCCACCCCACTGCTCCAGGTGCCCAGGCTAAATGAGCTCTGTTAGAAGCAGCAACAAGTGCACACAACCACGCTGCCAGTGCTGCCGGTGGTGACAGTGACATGGGGCACTCCCCAGGCCAGCCTTGGCTGCCCCGGCAGAGGCTGCATGAGCCACAGGGACCCCCAGCACAAGTCCCTGCTGTTGGCTGCACACCCAGAAGAGAAGCAGAGCCATCAGCAGCAGCAGACGAAACCCCACGAGACCCCACAGTACCCCAGTCCTGCCTTGGTTTCACCTGCACATGCTGCTGGGGAGAAGTGCAGGTAACAAGGACAGCCCTCCGGGGAAGCCAGTTCCTCCAACCTGCCGTCCTTCCCGACTGTTGGAAAACCCTCAGTGTTGTAGGCTTGTCACCCAGAAACTTCTCAGAAACCTAAAGCAAAAGAGGGACAGTCTCAGCTGTGTTGGCAGCAGGGGGAGGGCAGGGGTCCCTCCCAGGGCAGTGGGAGCATGAGCGGGGTCCCAAAGCACAGGGGCAGAAAGCACAGCCCAAACCTGCCTCAGGACAGAGCAACGGGTGGAGGTGGCACTGGTCTGGCACAGCCTGTCATTGGCAGAGCTCTGCCATCCCAGAGCCCCCCCTGCCCCTTTGGGGTCTCTGTAACACGGTCCTTAGGGCAGGGAGCCAAAGCAGCAGCCATGCACAGGGCCATGGCTGTAGGAGAAACCTTCCCTGCTCAGTCACCAGCCTGAGCACAGCACCCGCTGCTGAAAGCACGGGAGGATGAGCTTTAAAGGGGATTCAATGGAAATACCAGCACTGCCATGGCAGGAAACGCCGATGGCAGACGGGCTGCACCTCCTCCACAAGGGACCCGCTGCCCATCGGGAAGGACCGTGGCACCAGCAGTGATCCCACCACAGGGCAGCCCAGCAGGGGCGGCACAGGGGGGCCCTGTGCTTCTCCCCACGACACTCAGGCGCTTGCCTGGCTTTGAATCCCAAAGACTCATAAATTCCTTATATTCTGAAACCAATCTTGTTTAACGCAATACAGCGAGAGTTGCAGAATTACTCAGTATCGATCAGAGGAAGGCTGGGCCGTGGAGACAAGATCCACGTTGCTATGTGTGGCTTAGCAACATATAAACGTATTCAAACAGAATAATGAAATTATCGTGGGGAAACAAAGCAGCCATCACTTGAGGAGATGGAGGATGTGGAAGCCTCTTGGAGCCCTTGTTTGCCAAGACAAGGAAGATGGGACTTATTGTTTGTGCAAATATGTGAGCCCCCCCAGCCATCCCCTGCTCACAAAAAGGGTGCAATGAAGGCGGCAGCACTCGCTGCACAGGGCAGCTCTGTACAGCTGGGCTGGAGCTTGTTACTGAAAATACTCTGTGAGCTGAGCCCTCGTGGGGGGTGCCCAGATACTGGGAAGGGGAGAGCCCATGCCTGCCTCTGGCCCCAACCATGCTGCAAAACTCCCCATTTCTCTGGTTCTGAAGTTAGCATGGGATTTACCTGGGTTTTATCCACCCTCTTCCTCATCTCCTACCTCCCCATGGACCCACTGGCCATCTCTTGAGCTGGCAGTCAGTGCCATGCCCACAGCTCTCAGAGGAGCATGGCTGAGGCCCTGGAGTAGACTTCCCTGGGAGATTGTGAGCACACCCATGGACTGTCCCCAGCTCTCCCCACTGCCCTGAGGGGCAGCTGGCTCTGCCAGAGGATCTGCTGCTGGCAGCACCATTTTCATCAGAGTGGGCTGGCAACTTTGAAATAAAGATACCTGAGGAAAATATGTCTCTTTTCATTAAACAATTTGGGAGACAACAACTAGAAGAGGGGATGGTGTCTGAGCTGAAATGATCTGTCCCTGTTCATCAGCAAGGTCTTGGTTTTGGATTTGCTGACCCTGGCATCTCTTACCCAAGATCTCCACAGCACCTTGCTCTGTGAACAAGCTGTGAAGGCAGAGGCTGAGCTGCCCTGGAGTCCCCCAGGCACCCCTGCAGCTGGGTGCTACGGCCTTTTATTATCTGCTGTAATGGCTGGAAGCACTTGTGGCTGAGCCTGGAGCGGGGCCGGCACCGGCGCTGCGCCGCACGCGGCTCCACTGCACGAGTGCACAGAGGAGAGCTCTTCTGGTTCAAGATCTTCTCCTTCACCCCGGGCTGAAGGACTGCCCAGCCACGGGTACCTTGGCCCCGGGGCCAGGTGGAGCAGCCGCTCAGGGGGCTGGTGGGGGTGGGCACGCACAGCACTCCCTGCACAGCACTCCCTGCACACCCCGCCTGCTGCCACGGCCACGGCAACCCAGCCCAACCTGGTGTGTCCATCACTCTCCAGGCAGACACGGGCCTTTAAAAACACACTGAGGGCCTACCTGAGAAAATAAACCCAAATTTAACAACCCACCTATTTGCACAGTTGGAGTTTAATAACATATGTGGGTCATAAAATATCCAGGAGCAGGTGAGGGTGGGTCAGAGCACAAATGCATGTGCTGGGTGCAGCCCTTGCTGTCTCTGAGACGCTGCTCCTATGCCCGAAATGCTGCGGCACATTTACTCCTGGGTGCCACCATTTCTGCCTTTCTCACGTGTCCACTGGGAGGAGGAAAGCTGCACTGCTTCTGGGTGGCATCGTCTCGAAAATAGTCTGAGGATGCCCTGCTTAAACACTTCATGTGGATCAAAATCAGAAACCTGCTAATGCACTGCTTCCCTTGACAAAAGAAAATATCACAATGCAGAAAAAATATGATCATTCCTCACTGCTCTGTCTGCCTGAGGGGCCCCATCCAGAGGCTGCACTGGCAGTGCTGGGAGTGCCCAGCAGCTGTTGGTAAAGAAAATAAAGCTAAATATGCTCCATTTGTCTCTTGAGGAGCTGCAGATTTGCCCAAAGCCAGGCTGGGAAGCCGAGGAGGGAGCAGGGAGCTGTGGCTGGCTGGCCTCTCCCCAGTGCTGCTGTCGAGCAGAGGTCTGGGGCTTAGGAGGGATTTCTGGTTTTAATTTTACCCACCTCCATGGTGACATTGGCCTTTCTACAACCTGAAACAGAAGATGCTAAATGGCTGCTTTTAAGCTCATAAATCCAGCTCTGTCTGAACACCCCACCTTCCCTGGCTTCCCTTCTTTGGGATCATGGCACTCCCAGGACCCGCCAGCACTTTCTGCCACAGCCGCTGGTTTAAAATACCCCAGGGCAGCAAAGAGCTGCTGCCACCCCTGGAAGCAGCCTAGGCCCTGCCCAGCAGCAAGGGCAGGTCCCTGCTGCACCCCAAGGAGCTGTGCTGGGTGGTGCAGGCAGAGAGCTCAGCATCAGGTACCTGCAGGTCCCCCCTGCCCCTCTGATGCCTGTCCATGCCTGTGACCCGCAGCTCTGCTGGCACAGAGGAGCCCAGGGAGCCATTGGGCAGTGAGAGCTGGCCCAGATGGGCAGCAAGAAAGGTGCAGAGACATGGGGAGAAACCAAGGGGGTGCCCAGAGACAGGCACCCTCAGCTGAGCCACCAGTGCTGCCGGGACAGGCAGTGCCACTGGCAGAGCTGCTGGGGCTCCATATTCCCCCCCCTCTCCCTCATCTGTTCAGATATCCCACCAGCCTGGCCAGGACAGGACCCACCAGGGCAGTTTGGAAATAAAATGATTCTTGAAGACTGAGCAGAAACCAGCTGCTCTCTGGACAGCCCTCCACCACACAACCCAGCATCAGCAGTAACAAAAATGACGGAAAATGATGTGGGCAAATGTTACCTGAGGATTTGAACGCTGTCAGCTCTACGGCCTGAAAGAGGGGAGAACATGTGTTAGCAGAAGGTGCAGGTCTGACTGCTTTGCTGCTGGTCGCCCCTCACCACACACCCTGGGGCCAGGTAGGGCTCCCCAGCACTGTCCCACCCCTGAGCCACCACCAGGCTGGGAACCAGAGCCTTCATCCCTGCCCCGAGGGAAGGGCCCCTGGCAGAGCTGCGCCTCTCAGCAGCGGTGAGCTGGCACCCCGCTCCACACACCCACTCTAGGGACCCTTCCAGCCCTGTGGTGACCCACCAGGTTGGACAGCATCCTGGAGACCACAGGAGAATCCAGGAAAGGAGGAGAGGGAGCTCTGTCCCTCAGTGCTGTGGTGGAAAGAGCCTGCACAGTCTGTGCTTAGGGGCTGGTTAATGCTCTGGGAGATGTGAAATTCCTATTCCCAGTCCAACAACAACAAATATCACCAAACAACATTTAAAAAAGCTGAAACACGAAGAACATCTCGTCTGTGTTTGTATCTTCACTCGCTCAGTGTTTTGTCATTTTAAGTGTTTTCAAACGTTTTTAAGTAGCTGCTTCTCTTCATCCAAACTATTGTGCAGCTGCCAGTGACATTCTGAATCCGCCGCTCCTCCAGCGAGTGCCATGACTCACTGAGCTGGGGAGCAGGAAAAACAGCCCTGGCTTATATAAGTGACGAGCACCGACAGCAGCCCCTGTGCAGGCAGAAAGCAGCCCCCAACCAGCACGGGGTGGCACCACGCGGGGCACAAGTGTGCCCACCACCCCTGCGGTGGGGCTGGGGCCGGGACAGACCCTCCCAGTGCCAGCCCAGCACCACGGGGCTCACACCGACCCCGCAGGGGCACCGGGAGCTGCCGTGGCACCGACACTGGCACCGGCACAGCCTCAGCCCTGGCTGCACCCACAGTAGGCAAAAAGGAAACAAGCACATTAAAAACATGTTTATGCTCCAAAGATACAGCAAAGCCCTCGGTGACCCTCACATGGTGGGAAGCACTTGCTGTCTTTGCCTGCTCAGAAATGCCACGGCCTTGGCATTTAGGAGATCTGCTGTCTCCTAATGCCCCTGCCTTAGGGAACTCGGGCCCCTGGGCTAATCCCTGCGTCCCACATCTCACATCTGGTGCCAGGAGCTTAGCCCTGGCCCCAGTTCACACAGCCAGCACCTGACTGGCTGGGAAAAGCATCACCTGCTTCCAAGTCCTGGTGTTGTTCAGCACACAGGGAGGAACAGCATTAACCACAATATAAATCATGAGAGATGGAAATATGGATTTTATTGAGTGGCTTCAAAATGATATGCCAGCTATAGAAGTATTATCTATTGGATAAATAAGAGCTGTCTATGTGACACAGGTTTTCAAAGGATAAATATTAGAGAGGGAAAGAGAGATCCTTCAGTGAGAGACTCATGAAAGTAGTGTTGGATTTTATTCTGAGGAAATTACAGCACTTGTATGTCAAGTGCACAAGGACTGATGATCATTTCAATAGTGGGAGATGGAAGTGGCAGTACAGTAGTCAAATTTAAATTGTTTCCTGCTTTAGGCCATGCCTTGTTGAGCTCTTCATCCCTCTGCAGGCAGCACAACCCAGCCTGCCCTCCTGGGACAGAAGCAACTTGCCCAGGGCAGGGACAGCAAGCTCCTGCTGCCTGATTTAATTTGCTGTCCCTGGGAAAAGTCTCCTGCCTTGATCCATGCCCACCTCAGTTTGGTGCTTCATGGTTCAAATTCACTGGCACCTTCTGTTGCTGCACAGCCCTGCAATAACCACCCCCTGCCATGGCAGTGGGGCTGGCTCCCCATCGGCTCAGGGCTGAGCCCTTGCCTTGGAAATCGGCTGTTCTGGGGCTGCCTCCTCTCCTGCCCTTGGAAATGTGCCCTCCCCTGCTGTCCCCACTGCCTGTCCCTGCCCAGGCCAGCCCCAGCTCAGGGGGCATCCCCACAGAACTGCTGTGCTCTGTCTGAGGGTGAAGGTGGAAGGGTAACAGACGTTACATACCGGTCTCTCAGGTGACATAATTGATGAAATTCCCACGGGAATTTTGGCTCCAAAATTTCCTACGGGGTGAAGCAGCACAATGAGTTTGGAGACCAGAGAATAGAAATATTCATACTTTACAGGCACCAAACAGGTTATCTGTACCATTGCACCCACAAACTGGTTGGAGAATACAAAACACTTTTCCCCCAAAGCTAAACCCCCTATTTCCTACTGCCACCTTTGCCTGTCCTTCTGCAGAAAATTCATTGTAAGACACAAACACGGATTTTTGCCTCAGGAGAATGCAGGGCTGCCTAACATGCTGACAAGCCTCCCCACCTTCAGCAGCAGCACCAGAGCCAAGTGCTCATGTGGACACAGAGTGCAAACGAGTTAACACAGTGCCAGGTGAATGGGCACTGAAATTCAAGCCTTGGGAATAACAGTTTACTGCCTGTCATCACACAGCCTGGGCTAACAGTGACAGCAATGCTCCCACCTCTGTTGGTGATGTTCACTGGAGGGGCTTTCTGCGCAGGGCTCGGCAGGGCACTCTCAGCTGCAGGACCCAGCTTCCCTGTCTCCCAGGAGGTCGTATTTCTTGGACTTGATAAGTAGTTGATGGGATGAGAGCAGTTCTGTAATCACAGGGAAGAGACACAGGACAGTGAAAACTGTAACATGAGTCTTCACTAGATCCAGATCCAACTTTAAAGATCGATTTCATCAGCACTGTGGACTTTGGCTCCCACCCTGCCCTGGCACAGCAGGCTGCTGCCTAATTGGGATAGATTATCTTTGGGTCCGTGCTGTCCAACAGGACTGCAAAGAAGGGAGACAAAAGTTAGAAAAAAGACTTCTTTCCAACATAATCTCCTCAAACCAGACCAAAGACACAGCTGGACCCTTCTCCAGCGAGTGCCCAATGGATGAAGGGGCAGCAGGGATTCCTTCCAACTTACTGTGAACGAGAGGGCCTTCTTCTTGTCTTTCATCCTCTGGATGGCATTCCTCACCTGGAGCAGAGCAAGGACATTAGAGAGGGCCAGAGCAGCTCTATCACAGCAAGAGATTCTCCAGCAAGTCATGGAGAAAAAGCAGCCACTGTTCCAGAAGCACAGTTGGGGCTGCCTGTTGCAACTCCTACAAACCCAGCTACCTGTGAACTGCTAATTAACTGTTGCTGTGATGAACCCAGCCAGGGGCATATCTTACCTCACTGTTATAGATTGCGTAGACCAGGAATATGTACAGGCCCTGGAAAGGAGAGAGCAGAGGAGGGGTCAGAGATGTACAGCTGGTTTGTGCTCCTTCAGTGGAGGAAATGGGTTTGGTGAGCACTGGAATGGGTGAGACTGGCACAGACGGAGGGCACAACACAGCCAGGGACAGCCTTTCACACTTGAGATCGGGCTCTTCACAGAGGGTCCAAAGCAGAGACAGACCCTGCCCCACCCCCTCTTCCTTCTCCCCCCCCCCTCCGTTTCATCTGGGGGGAGTGGGCATCTCTCACCGGGCACTCCACTTCCCAAGCCCAAAGCTCTCCCACACTCCCATTCACTCATGCATGTGAAATCCCCCAGGAAACACCTCCTGTTCTCAGAAACAGAAACCACCGGGAATTAATTGCTAGGAGAACTGAAATCTGGGAAGCAGCCCTCCCTTTCTGCCGAGCACTGACCCTGGGGGGCTTTAGCCAGCCTCCCACAGACCATGTGCAGGATGATGGGATGGTTCCTCTGTCCCATGCACTGACAGACCACAGCATGAGACAGATCCTCTGACCCAAACCCCGTGAGGATGGACCTAGAGGTTTTGCTCAGGCCCAGTCTGGACAATCCTTCCCTCTGTCACAACAGGGCTATGGCAGCACAGTCCCAGCCACCCTCCCTGCTCACCAAAGCAGTGGTGCCTCTCACACACTGAGGACCAGCAAACAATGACACGCTCAGCCCAGTCCGGACCCAGGGCAGGATGTGCTCAGGGAAAGCACCCAGGCCAGGGTTGGAGTGAGCACTCCCTGGGGGCCACAGCCTGGGGCTAATTACAGCTCCAGACCAGCGATTTTGGCCTTAAAGCAGCCCTATCTAGCCCACCAGATTTATGTTATATCTGTGGGGTGTTTTGTTATCGCAGCTAGATAAATCAGCTGCAGCAAGAGATGCAATTCATCTTGTCTTCAATGAGCCTTGCTCTCATCTGCGAGCTCTTGGCAGGCGCAATGGTAGCAGCCCCCTGGCACCGTGCCGTGACCTGTCCTTCAGCCAGCAATGCTGGTCACTCCCCCAGACCAGATTTCTGGCCAGGCTGCCAAGGCAGGTCTTCCTTGAAAGAATCATTCTGGATGAGCGTGGGGAGGGGGGAGCGGAGAGGTCGGCTGGGAGGAGAGTGAGGAAGGAGAGGAGGCCCAGCTGCAGCGGCGGGAGCGGAGACGCGGCTCTGGAGGAGCCCTCTCCTACCTCTGCTCCCATCCACACTTCCACCCGCCTGCTGTCCTCTCCCAGCAAGGCCCACCATGCCCTGGCCCTGTGGTGAAGGCACAGCACGTGCTGGGACCCTCAGAGTAGGATGGATGCTCCTGCCTGGTGTCCGTCTGTCCAGCAGCCACGTCCTGTCTCTCCACACACCCAGCTGGGCACAACCCCACCGCCTGCTCCACCCTCCCTGGTGAGCTGCCTGTGAGCCCCTGCCCTCAGCCAGCCCCAGGACCATCCTTCCCGCTCTCCAAGTGCCAGTGGAGCTGACAGGTTTTACCAACACTGTTTAACAGCACTGGGTGCTTGGCAGGGTGCTGGTGCTCCCACCTCCCAAATGGGGCTGGTCCCAGCCTCGGGACAGCCACTGCAGCCCCCTCTGGCACAGCACCACAGGCTCCCTGTTGCTGCTCAGTCCCTGGCTGGATTCCTGCGCTGCCTGGCTGGAGAAGGAGCTGTCATGTCTGGTGTGGACGCACAGAATAGCCTTGAAGACAGACAAACAGAAAACAAACAAACAAACAACCCCAGCAGCAGATTCTCAGGACTCGAGTGAAGAAACACACTGGCCCAAAAGGGAATTCCGAGGGATCCATAAGACAGTGAGCAAGGGGGCTGAAATGGCTTTATTTTAACTCTGCAGCTTCCCACTAGCATTTCTCCTCTGGGGTAATCTGCAGATTGCCCTGAACTTGGTAATGAAGGGACAGAGGCAAAGGAGCACAGCAGAGTTGTGCCTGTCCACACAGCACTGAGCCTGGAGTTCTCCTGCTCAACAACCCAAGCATGGCATGAGGAGGCACGGAGAACTGATGCTATATTCAACTCCCATTAGCACAGGCCTCCTGCCACCCTTCTGATATCCTTAGGAGAGGAGATGTGGAGAGGCTCTGGCCTTGGAACACCCATCCCAGCACCGACGGATGTGCGCGAGCAGCACCCGGCCCTGGAGCAGCGCCAGCCACAGGCAGAGCATCCCTGAGCAACCACCCAACTTGTGCACGTGGTGATAATGCCTGGATTCACCCCTGCAGAGCTGGCCAGTGCTGTGCTGGGACCGGCCAAGTGTGCCAGAGGGAAGCACCGTGAGCTCAGCTGCTCCCTGAGCAGGAGCCAATTCCTATGGAGCCCAAAGGAAAAACAGGGACACGGGTGGAAAACTCTTTGGATCCCAGTGGTTTGGAGAGTAGTGCCCAGTTGTTCTCTTGACTTTGATGCCCTGGAGTAGGATTTGTCATCAAGCACTGGGCAGGGGACCCTGAACACCCAGTGCCCAGAGACAGGAGTGACCCTCGGGCACTACTGATGCAGGCATAGCCTTAGCCCCGGGGGTGGGACTGAGCCCGTCTGTGTTCCCTGCTGGCTGGATCCCTGCTGCCAGTATCTGCCTGCAGAGAGCTCCATGTTCCCCTCGGACCGTGCTGGGAGCAGTGGTGTTTGGTGGTGTTAATCAGTGTTCAGTGTTTCTCTAGCTCCATCTACAGCTGCCTTCTCTCGAGCTTTGCAAAGCTTCTGCCGATGCTTTGAATAGTAGGTGACAAGCACATGTTCCAGGACTTTTTGCCACCGTGAGTTTTAGCTATCCCGAGGTCCTGGGAACAGTCCTAGCTCAGTGCAGAACTGAGTGCTCCCGGCTGCTGGGACTTACACAGTTTGCTTTGCTCTCTTAACCACACACAGGCTGGCTAAAGCTTTAAAGTCTTTTGATGAAAACAGTAAACTCAGAAGTAAATATTAAGTGTTGCTTTATGCACCAGGGTTACTTGCTGCCCCACGGAATTCCCTATTAACATAAACTTATTAACAACATGACTCTGAAATATGGCAGAGAGAAGCAAAGAGCCTTGAAAACGCAGCCAGGTGATGCTACCAAAAAAGGAATAAAGAGGCAGAAGGAGATGACATGACTCACCCAAGGTCTTGCAAGTCAGAGCTAGAAACAGCCCCCACACTTGCAGATGCCCCATGTGAGGTTCTGATCACCAGCCCACGTCTCTGTTCCACAGAACACTCCTGCCTCCCACCACATCCAGTGCAGCTCCACTGAGCACTGGGAGCATCCCAGGTGAGTGGCTGCGTGGCTGCAGACAGCACGGACTTCAGGGGCAAGGATTTTCAGTCCTTGAGTCTCAGTTTTTGCCCGGTCTCCCTGCAGTAAAGCTGAGCTCCAGGGGAAGGGAAGGTGGCTCTGCCCCTACCATTCTGGGGCCATGACCTCTCAGCACGTCTGCACAGGAGCCAGATGGGAAACACTCCTCCCAGAACACACACCATCTAAGCTGCAGCCAGGCACACTGTGGCTGGACATGACCTTTGAGACCCTCTCCACAAACAGCCCCGCTCTAACAGGGATGGTGGCACCCACGGCCCATGCCTGTCCTGCAGGACAGAGGCAAACAGCAGGAGGGGTGTCTGCTCCATCTGAGTGCACAGGTATCATTTTAATTACCCATTAAAGGGCAAATAAAAACTCTAATGAAGCTCCCTGTGAGCATGTTGGTTTGTAACTGCCATTTTGAAGCCACGCTGGTGTCAGAAAGAAGAAACAACAGGAGAAACAACATTTGAACTGGAAAGCTGTGGCATCAGTAGGATGCTGCAGAGACTGGTGCTGAAGGGTCACTAGATGAACAAGGTGTCCAGAGTGGTATTTCATGTCTTGGGAGGATGAACTGAGTTTCCTCAGACAAAATAGCACAGAGGCTTGGAAGGCTGGGCTGGCTTCAGAGCTGACAATTGCCCGTGGCTACGAGGCCAGGTAAGTCCACTGAAGCACAAGAAACTGCAGGTACCTGCTTGGCTGTGAGCTGGGGATCCACCTGGTGAGGACTCACCTGGAGAGAGTTCAGCACGATGGAGACATAGGCCCAAATGATGCTGAGGTGGACGAGGACCCCACACACCCAGGTCAGCCCCAGCACGGGCAGCAGCACCAGGACAGGCTTGGCCATGGCCCTGGCAGGAGGAAGAGCTCAGGGTTACCCGGGCACATTTCAGAGATGAAACACTAACAAGACAGTAGCTATGGACCAAATTCCTTTGCAAAGAAAATAAGTTAAGATGGGAAAAACCAAACATTTCATCTCCCAGCCCCTAGCATGCCCCCCTGCTTTTGTTTTATCACTGCAAGTTAGCAAGAAGGGAGCTCTTTGACATCATTTGCCATGAGGAAACAGCTATTTCCCCCCCGATTTCTGCTACAAGGCGAGCTTCTGTATTTGTTTTATTTGTATATGGATGTCACCCTGCCCTCCAGCAATGCTCTATCTTTGTGGTTCTGTAAATTTGGGAAAATTTATTTATGCTACAGGGGAACAATGCGTGTCTAGCAGGGGTATCCGGCGCCAGCAAACAACAATAAAGATTCACAGGGGATGATAAAGGAATCACTCAAGCAGCAGTTTTTTAGAGGTCTCTCAATATTGACTGATTACAGAAGTCTGCACTGCCTCATTCCCTCTGTGTGTAACCCCCACCAGCCTTACTTTCAACCCACCAAGTCCCAGGCTTGCACTGCCAAGGGTCTCCCATCCCAAAGGGGTGAGGTTTAGGAGTGTGAGTGCAGATGGAGTCCAGCACTGGATTTCTGAGGCAGAAGGTGCTGGCTGGGCTGCTCAGTGGCACAGGCATTAGAGCAGCCAAACTGCCTCTGGGTGAGGCACAGCTACCCTGGGGGAGGGAATCCCTTCTGCCCTGACTCCCACAACTCACAGTCTTTCACTTGGCCAAGCTTCTCTGGGCAATCTGGGCCAGGGCCTCACCACCCTCACAGGGAAGAATTTCTTCTGTATATCTATCCCTGCCTCAGATATTTCACAGCCAGAGCAGCCCCTTCCCTGCTCACCATATCTGTGCTCCGATCTGGCTCTCCAGGCTGCTGTTGGGTGTCAGCATCTTTGATCTCCTGCGAGCACTGGACACTGTCACCGTCACCACCCGGAGCAGCACGAAGGTGTTCACCTGCCAGGGAGGAGCCATTGCACACAGGGGCTCAGCTCCAGCAGGGGAGACGTTTTCTGCTGGGAGTTAGTGTCAGAACTTGGGGAGAAAAGTATCAGTACCAAGAAGGCAGTGAACCAAAGACTTCACAGAGCTATTTATACACGTATGAAATCTAGAAAACTTATCCCGAAACTTTTCCTACGGAATGTCTTCCCTGTTAAGTGTCTATTCAGGATCTCCTAAACACTGCCCTTTTCTCTGCTATGTTTTGTATAAAGGTATTGACACTACTTCAAGGATTTAGATGTTCTCATAATTAAATCAGACCTCTAGCTAAGGCAATGTCACAGTCAGCCTACACATTTATCTGCATTCCTAATTGAACAGCCAACACAAGAACTGGTCAGCAAAATTTTCTTCAAGCACTTTTTCCTATCAAAAAGTTGCTTTGATTAAAGAGATTTATTTGTGTTTTGAAAGTCTGTATAAAGCATAACAACATTTTTCCTATGGAAGCAGCAGGCACAAGCCCTGTGAGCTACACCCCTGAGCAGGTGCTGACACCCCTATCTCTGCAATGCTTTTCTAGAACCAGACCCAAAGGAATCACCCCTTCCCAGCAGGGTTTGGCACTCACAGCCAGGATGAAGAGCACAGGACCCACGAAGGCCCAGATGACGTTGGTCTGCATGTTCAGCCAGCAGTGGTTTGCTGCCACGTACTTGTTAAAGGAAGTTGCAAGGGTCACCCCCACAATAAGGACTGGAAGACCTGCAGAAAAAACCACAGGTTAAACCCCAGGAAAAGCAGAGATGCTCCACACAGGGCACTGTGCACCAGACAGTTGCTTCAAAGCCCCCGTGACCAGACACGCTCCAGCAGGAGCCTCCAAAACCCCACGAGCAACATCAATTCCTGCAGCTGAAATCTGTCCTGGCTCTGCAGGGCCAGATTTACAAGCTGTCAGCATCATTCTCTGAGGTATAAAGCATTCCAAGTCCTGAGTCCTAACCAAAGCAATTTACTCTTTGGATTGCTTTTTTAACAAAATGGACAATCAAAGACATAAAACAATCCAAAATACTTGAAGTGGTTGCCCAGTGCCCAACGAGGCGTGTGCTCTGTGAGGAGCATGGACCTTGAGAGGCTCCTATGATACAAAACTCAGCTTGTTCAAATGAATTCTATGTCCCTAAAGGGCTCCCTCAGATTAAAGGGTGGTAAGTCAGGAAGGTATTTATATTTTAATTACTAGCAGACAGTAGAGATGCTCTCCAAGAACAAGAACATACCATAAATCTCCCCTCCCTTTTTTTTTGTGTTCAACTCTTGCATTTAGAAAAATAACAGAAATGCTGTTTAACTTGTACTCTAAGACTGGCAATTTGACACATAACTCAAGAGAGCCTCTGCAGAGCAGTGGCACCCAGCTCTCATATTAAATGAAATCAAAGATTTGGGAATCTCTCCTATTAAAACTTTCAATAGACAAAGAAAAAGAACATTTTCCTGAGGACCCAAGCAGAGGAGTGTGCAGATACCCCAGCCTGTCACGTAGTAGAACTTCATTCTCCTGTCTTCACTCATGTTGACTGCTACCACCTTGCTCCAGAGGAGAAGCCCCTCTACCAGCATCCATGAGAAGGCTGCCATGAAAAAGAAGTGTAGGAAGGCAGTGACCATGAAACACAGCACCTGGAGAGAAATCACACAGCAGAGGACTCAGAAGGGGACAGAACTGTGTGCTGCTGTTCTATAACTACTTAAATTTCCAGAAGGATTTTTTGGTCAGAAACCAAGTGTCAGAAAAGCAGTGAATTTCCTGAGGGATTGCACAGTGTATATATAAACACAGAGACACAGTTCTAGGTGCCAGTTACAGGTAATTAATGAAAGGGTTTACACTTCTGTTTGCTCTGACAGTGGTGCTGGAGCAGGCCTGGCCCTGCTGGTGGAACAGGACATTCCTGCTGAGCTCACCTGGTTGCTCTTGGCCAACTCACTTAACATGAGCAGAGCTTCTCCTGCAGCCAATGCAAAGATCAGGTTCTTGTGCACTGTTGTCCGTTCACTCTTGGGGACACTGAGGAAGGAGAGGGGCAGCCCTGAGCTGCAGCCAGACAAAGGGGTGCCCACGTCCTCCCTGCCCTCGCTGGGCTGTGCAGACCTGCCCGGGTGACCCGTGATCTCTCTGCCACTCACTGCAAAGACTGGAGGGAGCCACTGCTGTGCTCACAAGGCAGATCCCCGTGCTAACCAAGTGACACAGAATGGTTGGCAATAAAAGAAACAGTCTTTGCTTCATTTATCTTATAAAAATTAATTCTAGCAGAGCAGCTTTTATGGTAAACATTGTTAGTCACGGATAAAAATCTTGCCACGAGCACCCAGGTGTGTGCACAGCTCACATGAGCATCTCCACAGAAACAACCAGGGCTGCACCCCCTCTCCAACCACTCCCCTGACAAAGGTTCTGAAGTAAAATACCAAGCAGAAAATACAGAGATGGCTACAAGTGCCCAGACTTTTCTTACCGAACCACCAAGAACAAAATGAAGGTGACTATCAAGGCACAGAAGGAAACTCCACATCCAATAAAAGTCAAGGTCTGCAGTGTGAACTCCTCCTTGGCGGTCATCTGCTCCATGCCATGAAACAACAGAAGGCACAAAGCCCCATCTGAATTAACCAGACTGCTCTCAGTCCTGGCATCCACCCCACAGGGTGGCAGAGAAAGGCTCCTCACATACCTGCAGCTCATACACCTGCAGCAGGATGGCAAAATTCGTGGTGTGGTTGCAAAAACAGGCAGTGGAGTCCTGGAGAGACGTCACCACAGAGCAGCCAGCTGTGGACCACATCCCACCAGCATCTGGGCTAACAGAGCAAAACCAGAGAGAACACACGGAAATTACCACCCACTGCCACAGAGGGCCAAGGCATGAAGGGAATTTCATTCTCCCAGAAGAAGGAGTGTTGAAAGGAGGAAGATGAGGGTATCAGAGACAGGTGTCAATATGAACTTCCCTTTGGCTCATCCTGTGTCTCAGCAGCTTTGCCTTATCCAGCAGGCACGCAAAGGAAAATAGATCTAGTGTCAATTCGTGCATTAAAAAGCAGAGGTCAGCCACCACAGCTTCAAACAGAATCCAGTAATTGCACAGCTCTGGGAAGAGCTCCCTGTACAGCCCATTCACTGAGAGCATCCCTGGGCCAGGCATGTCTGACCACATCCACCAGCCCAGCCTGCCACAAACCCTGTGCAGTGCCACTGGTCTCTGGATCCTCAGGACAAGCCAGCCTGTCCAAGTCATCAGCAAAGATCCCCATCTGAATTTCTGGGGCAGGAACCACAGCTGCAGCAGGCAGCTCTGTCCCTACTGGCAGCACTGCCCCTCTGAGCCTCCCCAGTACCACGGGAAGGTCAGGGTCAGGGCAGCGCTGGTGGGACCGTTTGGACAGTAACCAGCTGCTTCCAAAAACACCCTCTTCCCACCCTCCCCAAACTGATCCATGCCTGTTACAAGTCTGGGACCGTAAGGAGGTTTTTTGCTCTTGAATGACTTAATCACCAACCCATAATATATCACAGCCTCAGTGTTCTCACTGTGGTGACATTCAGCAAAAACACATCCCAGTGCCAGGCAGGATTTACGAGGCTGGGAGTCCTGCGTGTCTTTGGGCCATATATCTTGGACCAACTCTTCTTTGTCACAGGCAACAATCATAATTAACTAGGGCTTTCCATTTTAGTTATAGATACCTCATTAGAGGTCACTCTCTTGTGAGTGACTTCTCCAAAGGAAACCTTCCCAGGGGAGCACTTTGCTCCAGCAGACAGAGGATGTCAGCGTGCAAAGAAGGCAAAGAATTCCAGATCCCTACTCTTACCATTACATTTATATTGTGGTGTTTGGTTTTCCAGTGGAAATAAAATCTCATAAATCTGGGGACCCAAACTGAAACAAGGCACCTGAGGCTGAAGTTCCAGAAGGCACAGATGGGCCACACCAGCATATCAGGCAGGTCCTGCAGGCAGAGAGGGGAGAGAGGTCACACAGCCACACAGATGTGGCTGCACGCAGATGGTTGCAGTTCACTCACTGGGCTGTAACAGGCTCTGCCAGCACAGAACAAACCCCTCCCCAGGGACACAGGAGTCAGGGGAAGAGCCCTGGGCATGGGACACCCCGAAGTCCCAAAGCTCTGGGGTGCTGAGCCATGGCTGGGAACAGCCGGGTCAGGCTGCTGGGAGGTGGCTGGGGAGCACAGCCCCTCCCCGGGGTACCCAGACACGGTGCTGGAGATGGTTGGGGAGCACAGCCCCTCCCCGGTACCTGCGCTCGGTGCTGCAGGCGGTAGCGCACGGACGTGCTGATCTCCTGGTAGTTGCAGAGCAGCGTGGATGAGATCACAGCAGTGCCCACCGCAGTGCTCACGTACCTGCCAGGGAAAGGATGCCGCTCACAGGCACGGGAAGCACAGGGCGTGCTGAGCAAATGGGATCTCACCTCCCACAGGACAGATCACTGCTGGAGGGAGTCAGTGCCGCCTGGGCACGGGGCACAGTGTCCCTTGGGACACCCGGCACACAGAACCCCCCCAGCGCGGGAGGTGACCCTGCGGACAGGCACTGCAGCATCCCGGGCGGTTCAGCCGGGCACAGCTGGAGGCGCCGGTGCGCGGGGATGTGCGGGGATGCGCGGGGATGTGCGGGTGGCCATCCCCACCTAGTGTTCGGAGCTCCCGCCGCTCCGGGAGCCACCAGCGCCACCACCTCCAGAGACACCTTCTGCCCCAGCCAGAGGGGACCCTGCAGCAGTGCCCAGCCATCCCAGCAGAGCTGGTCGCCCCAGGGGAACCAGAGGCACACAGGAGACACCACGGTGCATCCCGACACACAGGCAGCACCAGGGCTGGGGTGGGTCAGGGTGGAGGTGACCCCAAAATCGAGGGACTCAGAGACTCAATGCAGACTTAGAAATGAGCTCTGCCGTGCTGCTGAGGACAGCCCTGGGGCGCAGGGGGTGTGTTCCACTCACTTGTATCCCCCGTCAGAGGCAGCCACGTGCTGGGACACAGCAGTGCCGGACAGGCAGCGCTGCAGGGCCCCGTAGCCAAACCACAGGTTCTTCATTGTGACCCTGCGGAGACCTGGAGGGACAGAGCATGGGGGCAGGGAAAGGCACACAGCTCTGGGCACCACTGCCCTAATCTTGGGGTGATACTGGAGGCCAGAACACCCTCAGCTCCAAGCCGTGTCTGTAGAGAGGCTGTAGATAATCTCTCCCCCACAGCCCATCTCCCTGTCACCAAGGGCTTTCCCTCCCCACACTTCTCCAGACCACATGTCAGGGCAAACAGTTTGTGCCATTAAGGAAGGTGCTGCAGAAGTCCCAAGGGGATACCCAGGGAAGCTCAGGTGTCATAACCAACCTCTGGCTTTCAGTCTTTGCATTTCTTCTGCAGGAACCTCGATGAAGTCATGCCTGCCCTTCTCGACAGTCTGGACCACATATGACTCATCACTCAGCTCCTGCCCGCTCAGCTCCAGCTCCCTCACCTCCATCCCTGGGCAGGGGTAAAATCAGGTGCTGAACCAGGGTTCAGCCTTCCTCCAGAGCTACTGCTACAGCAAAGTACCACAAGGACACTACAACCCCAGCCAAGACCCACAGCGGCAGCAGACAGGTCCCTTTCAGTGCAAACCATGTGCATCTGGGCTCAGCTTCTCCCATGTGAGAGGTGCCCCACACTGTGCCACTCCGCACAGGGAAATGGGGAGCAGGCTGTAGAATTAGTAACAGATGAGCCAGAGGAGGAGTGGACTTGGACTGGGAACCAGACAGGGTGACTGATCTGGGTCCTGGTGAGATACCCCCCCAGCTCTAGCAGTGCCACTCACCAATATTCCTGTGCTGGACTGTGATCCTTGTCCTCTCTGCAGTCAGCAGTGGGACTAAGAGTGACACCATTCTGTCACAGAGCTCAACAACAGCCATGGGCCCTCTGACAACCTGCACACAGAGAGAGAGCAATGGGAACCAGCACCTGCACTGCCAGCTCTCCCTTCCCACAGCTCACAAGGGTTTTCTTAAATGTTTGGTCCTTGGCAGAAAAAAAGAGAAACTGGGACTCAAGGCTTTGGCTTTGCTCTTCTGTGATTTCTTCCCTACAGGATGTTCCCAATTCTTTCAGCAAAGAGACAAGGCTGGCAATGACAGAAATTTGCTGGTCTTTATAAAAAGCCCTTAAAACAACATGGAAATAAATAACTAAATAAGCACATGACATTCAGATTGCTGGTGACACCATTACCTGGCTGACCGACGACCACGTCCCAGTATTCTGCTCTTCCAGGATTAACTCAGTCACTTCCATATAATACTGGCCCAACTGCTCCAACATCTCCAGGTCATCTCCCTCCTGCACTTCCACATCTGAAACTTGCTTTAGCAATTGAAGCACTTCCAGGAGGTCAGAGGGCTCCAGCGTGGACATTTCTCCTTCCCTCAGAACCGTTGCCAAGGCATCAAGAGCACCAAGAGCCACAGAGAGGTTCATGTCTTGGACACCACTCGCGAAGAAGCTGTCAGGAACCTGCCATGGAAAAGATGGTTTAGTTCAGTGCAGAGCCCTGACTCTGCCTGACCATCAGCTGTGCCTTGGCAATTCCCTTCATGCCCGTCTGGCCAGCCAGGCATATCCTGGGGAAGGGATCCCTTGGCCAGGCTCCCAGCCTCGGTGGGACAAGTCACCTGAAGCAACACTTTGCTTGTTTGCTCACAGCATGAGTTACAGCTGTATTGGTCACAATCTCCAACAGCAGATCAGAAAAGGTCACAGGCACAACTGCTGGCAAAGTGACCTCAAACAGCAGCAGGTGCCAGCACGTCCACCCCAACAGCTTCTCCCTGCTCTGGGTGTCACCTGCCACTGCTGGGGCTGCAGGACTCACCACAGACCTCGCTGCAAGCGTGTTCACATGGCTGACAAGCGAGTGGCTGGACTCCAGCTGGGCTCTTTTCAGTTGCCAGTATGCATCTGAGAACAAAACAGAACCAGAAGCAAAACCATTGCCGTGCTGTCCAGCAGTGTGGTTAACACATGCCATGTTCAAAGCCTGGGGAATGGTCCTCAGATGGTGGCTATGTCTGCAGGACAGGCAGGACAAGGAGACTTCACAGCTGTATTTTATTTCTAGCACCAGATCCCATCTGGACAGACAGTTTGACACTCCTTTTTCTGCCTTCCCCCATATTCCCCCAGCCAAGGAGTCTGGGTTGGGAGGCACTATACAGCACTGCATCCAGAAGCCATGGAATGTGTAAAACCACTGCTCAGCTGGGGAATAGCAAAACCTCCTGTCAGAGCACAGGCAACTGGAGCAAAGTCCCAACTACAGCAGGGTTTGCATGTCATCCCTTCAGAGCAGTCATGAGGCCTTCCCAACCCTGGGCATCACCCCATCCTGGACCTCCAGGAGTGCGTGTGGTGGAATAAATAACTAACAGATGCTGTACCCTTTCTGTATTGACAGATGAAAGGCAAAGTCTGCAAACAAGATGCATAACTGAATCCATTGCTGCCAACTTCCAAAACTCGGCATTCCTCGACAGGCCCTGTGGAAACACACACAGTCAGAAGGGCCAGGTCTCCCAGGGACATGCCACCCCCAGTAGGTATCCACAGCAATATCCTGCAGCAATCCACAAAGCCCAGTATGACAGACACGGTGGGCTGCTCCTTAGGTGGCCTCAGAACCAGAGCAGAGCAGAGCCGGGACTGGGCTCAGAAATTGCTCCCAGCTGGTACCCCCTCTCCAGAGGGAACTGGGAGAGGGCAGTGCCAGGTCCTGAGTTCATGACTGATCAGTATTGTCCCCCCAGCCTGGCTGAGAGCCCAATTCCTCCCTCCCAGCAGAGCAATGAAGCACTGGCTGCAAACCCTGGGGAAAAACATCCCTGCCAAGGAAGTAGAAGAGGAATCCCATTATTAGCTCAGGACATCTGAGCAGCTGTCTGTGCCAGGGGCACTGCAGGGCTCTCCAGTGACCAAGGGTTTTGTGATGACTGTGACTTCAAGTACAACCTGTAAACTGTACACATCCAGCCCAGCTCTGAATGTGCTGCTGCTTTTCTTCTCCAAGGAGAAACATCATTCTACCAACTGCACCAAATTCCCTCTCTAAGGATGGGACTGGTTTCTCGGACTGTCCCTGTGTGCTGAGTGAGGGTAGTGAGTCTCACCTGGGCAGAGAAGCTGGGTGGTCACTGTCTGAACGGAGCTCTCCAGCTCCAGCGCGTTTGAGCTCCACCCAAACACAAGGTCCTGCTCTGTGACCCAGCACGACCGAACCTTCTCAATCTGCTCCGTGCTGAGGACTTTCTGCCAGATGTGTAAGTCAGTGATGTTCCCACTGAAGGACTCCTTCGCCCTGAAGGTGCCCCCCAGGGAATCTTGGTCCTGCCCAATGATGAAGGTCCCCTGGCCGTAGATGGCTTGGGGGGCAGCTGGTCCTGCAGCACACAAACCACTGGCAGATGCCCTCCTTTTCCCATCGGCATAGATGGCCCAGGTCCCGTTTTCCTGCTGCCAGGTCACGCAGAAGTGATGCCACTGCCCGTCGGCACGGAACACGGGCAGGTACGGGGAATGGTGCCCATGGACTATGAGAGCAAAACGGACAAAGCCTTCCTCGTCCATGAAGCCCCGGAGCTGGAACTCGTTGATGAAAGCTGGCACAGCGTAGGAGAAGATGGTGGCGATCTCCTGGGTCCTGGTGTCCCACTGCAGGTGGGCACAGGCTGTGACAGCAGGCAGGGCTGGGAAGTCAGAGAGCACCTTCACGTACTTTGTGTCTGTTTTGTCTCTGAACACCAGGACTGGTACGCTGTGGCCTCCTAGAAGGAGACATTTCAGTCAGCATGAGGGAAGAAGCGAGGGCCAATAAAGTCACAGTAAAAAACAAATGAAAACTTTTCCAGTCTGATTTTTTTGAATCCAGCAGTAAAGAAACAAGTGTCCAAATAGCCCATGTCCACTTATACTCACGTCTCCTCTTTGGTTTGTGCAGGACACCATCCCTTTCCTTCAGCCAGACAGAACCTGTGATGTGGTGGGACTGCAGCAGTTTGCTGAAGGAATCTTGCTCACTGTGCTGGGGTTCAAAGAGCAGCTGAGCAAAGTGCTGCTCACAGTACCTGTCAGCATGCCACCAGTCCAAGGCAGTGGCCACATACTCATATGTGTGTCTTGAGGTCTCAATCGTGACAGGAGCAAAACCTGGAGAAAGACACACAATGTGGGGAAACAGGAAGCCTCTCCAAGCCACCTTCGTGCCACACACGGGGTCAGTCTCTCACAGCATCCCCAGGCAGTTACAAACACTGCCTGGTGCATCCTGGAGGAGCTGATGGCAGGAGCTCATCTTCCCATCCAGCCCTTGGGCCATTCAGTGGGTACAGTGTGACAGACAAGATCAGACTATATTGGACCTAAACTGAGGGACAGCTCAGAGCCTGCTCCCAAAGCAGCCCCCTGGCCCAGGGCTGGAGCAGGGCCCCCTCCTGTGGGACACACAAACCATGCCGAGCTCAGCCAAAAAGAAAAGCTCACTGTGGTTTGCCCAGGGATGGCCCTCAGGGAAGCTTGTTTAAAGCAGTTATGAACAAACTAATTTTCTCATTTTATCCCCAATTCCCAGCTCCTCCCAGCTTCTGCACTTGCAGATGCAATTTGCAGGCACAAAATAACCTGTTTTGTTTGCAGTTGCAGCGGCACACGGAGCAGCAGCTGAGCAAACAGCCTGGCAAATACTCAGCTCTGCAAACAGCATTTCAGGCACAAAGCAGGGAAACAGAAAAAGTTTCTTTACCTTCGTTTCTGCCACTGGACACCTTTTATTTCTCTGTGCTGGATGTTGCTTGTAAACACATAGAATGCTGATAAAAACACTAACCTTTAGAAGTCTGGTTCTTGGCAAGGACCGCAAAGGCAAGGAGACTCCTGGACAGACTGACCTGGTGGAGAGGGTGTTGTAACATTCACAGAAACATTAATACTATCTCAAATACTGAAATTATAAAAATTACTGTAAAACTCACCAGAAAACTGAAGAACCAGGAATCAAGTCTCAGATCTCTCCTGAACATGTTGACCATGTGGAAAGCTTTCACTCTTTGCTGGAATAAACAAAATATTACTGGAGATGCACCGCAGAGACAGAGGCATTCTGCAGAAAGGCAGTTCCCAGACAAAGCTGCTTTCCTCAGAAAGGCTTGAATCAAAAAAGAGAAGACAACTCCCTCTGAAATACCTGTCCTGGGTAGTATCCCATCCAAAGAATTCCCAGTTCTTCTTGAAGAATGCAAGGTCTCAGTTTAACATTTGTTTGCAGGATACAAAATAATTAAGCATAAAGCATACAGATGTGTGATATTTATGAACAGGCAAGTTCACAGAGCCTCTTCATCTGCATTAACCAAATAAAAAAGCCACCATAAATGGCATCATTAAATGGTGTTGCATCACTGGCAGTTTTTCTTGTCGCTTTTAAAACCTGCGTGAACAGAGCACCAGAACAGACCCTGCAGAGCAGTAAGTCCAGCCTCCATGAGCCCAGACACACAGCCCAGCACCATGGAGCCGTCCTGGAGAGCTGCCCAGGGCCAGGGCTTGGCAGTGAGTTCCCACCACCCCATCTCTGCCCCAGGGGGAGGGAACCCTGAGCTATGGCAGTAAAAAACCTAGTAAAGTCACAGATGAGGGTACATAAAGACACAAAGATGTAAACTGGCAATGCAAACAAGCTCTAAAGCTGTCTCTGGGCAGTGGCGCCGCAGCCCGGAGTGATCTCTGCTCTCAGCAGGGCTCTCCCACGTGCGCAGTAAAAGCACACTGAAGCACTTTGCTGCTAAGGGACTGAGGAGATCAGGGCTGCAGCCCGGGCTCTGCGTTCACAAAGTCTTCCAAAGTTCAGCAGTGACTTTGGAAACACTGAACACGACTCCAGGACCCTCTCTGACGGGTGAGAGACGGAGACACGGCACCGCCAACCTCCCGCTCCTCAGCCCGGCACCTGCAGCCCCAGGTCTGCACTTCCCCAGGGAGGGCCCTCAAGACGGATCAGAGGAAACCTGGAAACCGGTTTGAGTAGGAAAAATAGGGCAGCGGGGTGTGCCCGGTGACCCAGCGCGGCCCAGGTCTGGCACTGCCCTGGGGAGCCCGGGAGGGCCGAGCCCCGGTGCGGCCGCGGGGCAGCGCAGAGCCCGGGGGGGCGGCGGAGAGCAGCCCCGGGGTCTGGAGAGACCGACAGCGGGACCGCGGCTCCGCATCCCGCACAGCATCCTGCATCCCGCACAGCATCCTGCATCCCGCACAGCATCCCGCGCCCCGCACAGCATCCTGCATCCCGCATAGCATCCTGCATCCCGCATAGCATCCTGCATCCCGCATTGCATCCCGCGCCCCGCTCCGCACCCACAGCCCGCCCGGCTCCGCTCTGCTCCGGGTCCGGCGCTCCCAAAAGCCGCCGCCGTTCCCCGCCCCGGGCCCGCCCCGCCGCCCCCGCGGGCCCGGCGGGGCTGGGCTGGGCTGGGCGGCGGGACGGCGACACCGAGTCCCCAGGGCGGTGCGGGGCTGGGGCACCCCCACCCCGCACATCACCGCACCCCCATCCCGCACTGCCCCCGCGCCCCGCATCCCACCCCGGGACGCCCCTCCAGCCCACCCCGCTCCCGACGCCTGCGCCCCGACTAACAGCAAAGCACTCACAACCCTCCCCAGCAGCACGGGATCTGCTTCCCAGGCAGTCACCGCTCCATGGAAGTGTCCAATTAAGCTTCCCAGGAAATGTGGCACATGGTCTTGGAAAAGAAGTCAGGGCGCGGAGGAGTTACCAGGGATCGGCACAGCAGCAGGAGCCCCACAGAGCCCAGAGGGCAGGTGAAGAGGGACAGGTCAGGAGATGTCCAGTGTGTCCCTGGTGTAATGTCCTCGCTGAGCAGCTTCAGTGTTCCAGAGCTTCCCTACCCCAGGGCCCGCAGCACCCCGGGAAGGATGCCAAGGCTGGAGGGTCCGGGTCACCCCCGTGGGCTGTGGTGCTCCCCACCTCACAGGGCAGAGCTGCTCTTTCGGTTAAAGCCCACTCACTTTTGCTACAGCAACAGGAACACAGTTCCCACTGCTCCCCTCCCAGAGAATGCTTGAATCACACTATGGATTCACCAGCAACTGTCCTTTGTTCTTCAGGGTCTTTGCCTGGGAATGAAGGCAATTATCCCATCCCAACGCCTCTGCTCTCGGCAATAAATCTCCCACAGAAGAATGGACCTTGGAGGCAGCTGCTCTGGGCTGCTTAGTCACCACTGCCAGCTGGGAAACAGCTTGGCACTCCTGGACAGTGCAGCATGGAGTGCCAAAGGCCTGTGGACTGCATGGCAGCACAGGAGAGGGCTCTGCACCCCCTGCTTTGGCCAAAACTGGATCCTGCTTCCCTCAGCAGTGGAGGGAACAAATGGCACGAGGCAGAGCCCAAGTTTATACCAAGCATCTTTGGAAGGAAAGTACAAAATTATTTCAAACTTAGTACTGGATTAGGTTTAATGAGAATTAGCATTTCCCAGCAGACAGTAAAGTAAGTTCCTTGTGCCTGTGTCTTAGACAGAATGAATCATCTTTTGTAACAGCACAAAATGCAGTTTTCTGGTAGCATTAGAAATAGCATCCAGCTCCCAGGCCCCACTACTGTTTTCTGTATATACAAATAAACCTTCCTCTGTGCACATGCAGAAAGGTGAAGAGAAAGTTCCTATGATCACTGCATTGAGACCCGAGTCTCCAGGCTCACCTACACAAGTTCTTTGGATTTAAATCTGAACTAACTTCCATAATTACATCCTGGGCTTTCAAATAAGACATGATGCTTTGGCTGGCATCAAGAACAGCTCTAGAGACCATGGCAAGAAAGCGTCACTGGCATTTCAAAGAAAAGGTCACAGCCAGCAAGTGGAGCCAATAGCTGGCATCTCATTGTGCTTTCACCAAAAATCACACTGAAAAGGCCCCAAAGAGCACAATCCAGAAAATGGGTGCCGTGCCTGGCCTGAGGGACAATTCCTTTAGACTTTTCAGCTCTCCAGAGGGTTTCCTTGCACATGTGGGCACTGCTGTATGTTTGCTCCTTGCCACGGAGCAGAGTCATCACCACCAGTGCTGGCAGTTCCTCGTGGTATCGGCAATAATTCCCATACAACCAGTCAGCTGTCTCCTCAGGGCAACTGCGGTCCCCAGAGTCACCTCCACTCACACATCTCAAAATAAATGAGAAAGAACAGAGTTCCTAGAGTTAAGAGGTCTCCATCCAGTGCATGAAGACCTTGGCAGGCAGACATGACCTCGGGATGGTTAGATGGCAAAATCCCAATGCACTTTTAATGCTGGTAAATCTCTCTAACAAGCAGCTGAGCAGAGGGCAAGTTGTGTAGCACCGTTTGGGTGATGCTGTCACTCTGGGTTAGCCTGGTTTGGAGTGGGTTGCAATTCTGTTTACACGCAGGCAATTTAAAAAATCAGCTCAGGTGCATTTTAAGGAGTGTTACCCTTAACAGTGAGTAAACCCTGAGCTGCCACCCTTAAGGCACATCTTTCACACAACCCTTGGAAGAGCTTCCCAGCACATGGGCGAGCAACATGTTAATCTTTATAAATCAAATATTTGCCAAGTGGAGTAGAAAGCCATGTGTCTGAGCAAGATGCACTGAGAAATGGAACAAAGCCTGGTGTGTGTCAGGGATCACCCGCTCGTGGGAAGGCCTGTCCCTTGCAGAGCTGTGCTTCAAAACAGCAATCCCTTAGTCCAGCTGGAGGTGTTATTCTCCTCCAGCCTTTTTTCCCCACACTTTTTACTGCTCAAAACAGATGTTCCAGTTCCTCCTCACAGAGTTTATGTCACCCAAACTTTGCATTGGAATTGGTTCTGAGCCAAGGCAGGCTTTGACAAGTGCTGGCTCAGAAGGCACCAGTAGAAGAGAAGCGGACTTACCTCCCTCCCCAGTACTGGGGCTGTGCAAGTGTGTCACACAACTGCTGTATCTCAGTTATGTGACACTTACACACATCTGAATGTTTCACAAGCTGCTGTTTGGTGCTGATGCCTCACACTGGTACCAGCACTGCAGTTCAGAGCTCCCATGGGCCCTTTATTTATCTGCATATGGATGTTTCTCTTTGTTTCTGCAAGGCAAGGAACTGAAAGCGTGGAGTCTTCATCCTAATAAACCATATTTGACTGCCCAACTATTTACTATTCAGAAAGAAGAATGAAGCAGTCACTGCTGTCCTATGGAGTCCAGCTGGCTGAAAGGCTGTTGGTTTCTGCTCCTGTGGGACCTTCAGGCCAGCTCTCCCAAAAGAAGATTCATCAGTGCTCCAGCAGCAATTAACCCTGCACTGCAGTGCTCTGGTCGTGGCACAACTTCCTGCTGTTCCTGCTGACAGGGAGCTGTCAGTGCAGGACATCCCATCCCTGTCACTCCAAGCAAGCTGTTAACACACTAACACTCTCACATGGATCGAGTTATCAGAAGCAGCAGTGTCTGGAAAAATCTAGACAACTCTTCCAGCTCCTCTGGACAAAGGCACAGTGTCACCACCTGACCTCCACACACACCCTGCCCAGCAGACTGGTCTGTAGCTGCACAGCAACCACTGACCAGAGAAGTGGGAGTCATCAAGCGCACAGGCTGGACTTTGGATGGCAGATGCCATTTCCCGTTCACAGCTCTGCAGGAAGGGACATAGCAGACATGTGCTCAAGCTAATTCTTCAGGTACCCAAACAAGTTCCTCACTCTGCACACTGAAAGCCTGAGCTGATGTGATTTTATGGCCAGGCATCCGCACGTTTGGCAATGCCACTATTTGTCTAGTTCTCTTAGTTTCCTCTACCCCTCACTTTTCAAGCCTGTCACATCAGGGTTGACCAAACTTCCTGATGCTACAGGCTTCACATCAAAAGCCTGGTAGGTCAGGGATATTTCCCCCCAGAAAGCCGAGGGGAGAGGGCACGAGGTCACAGGCAGGCAGAGCAATACCTCCCCAAGGGGACAGAGTGACCCAACACCTCCCCAAGGGGACAGAGTGACCCAACACCTCCCCAAGGGGACAGAGTGACCCAACATGCAGGTCAAGAGCCTGCCTGTACCAGGTCACCTCCTTGCACAGAAAAAGCACAATTCTGCCTGCAGTGCTCACCCTCCTGTGCCCCTGTCAGCAGT